TCTATTCTATTCTATTCTATTCTATTCTATTCTATTCTATTCTATTCCATTCCATTCCATTCCATTCTTTCTATTCAAAATAACTAGGGAGACAATTCTACAGTGTAACACAGGACACTCGCTCACAAACCTCAGCCTTTCAAAACTTACTGAAATAGAGGAATCCCTTAGCCCAGACATCAAAATTCCACCAGTGTCTGTTCTTTGGCTTTGGAATCAAAATTAAAAACTGCATCCAAAACGATGCAGAAGAAATAGTTCAGCACATCACAAATGTAAACCATCTGGGCTCCTGCCCGTACCAAAGAATCGATCACTGCAATGCACAACTTGAGAATTCTAGGATCAAAGCAGGTTGTGCACTACAAAACTTCGCAGAAAAAACCTTCATCAATCCCAACCATTTTTAAACAACAAGATCTCCAATCCTATTGTAGTTATGCCCCAAATAGACCAGACAACTAACCAGGAAAGTCCGAAGAGTTTGCAAATACAAATGTCAGGCTGTTCTTGGTTACCTGTTTACCATCCTGGGTGGGAAAAAGCGTAGAAGAATCATCCAGAGGTTCTTTCCAAAAGGCAACTGGATTTGCTTGGCTGTGTTTTTTTTTCCCCCTTGAAAATGTTTCGATTCTCATCCAAGAAGCTTTTGAAGAACTGAAGAAGCTTATTGGATGAGAAGCGAAACCTCTTCAAGGAAAAACCAGGTCTGAAGAACTGAAGAAGCTTCTTAGGTGAGAAGCAAAATGTCTTCCAGGAAAAAAGGAAGCCCGGTTGCCTTTTGGGACAACCGTGATCTGGATAATTGAGAATCTCACAAATGAAGGTGAAACTACATGTCCCAGGATAATGTTGCAGGATGCAATCTGGGTCAGTCACAAGGACCAGAGGTTTTTGCCTTCTGAGCTTTTGGACTTGTGCTGGAACCCATCCTTGGGAACTTCTCTCTAGCAGCATGTGTGCTTTGGGCTGATCTAGTGTGCGGTGTTTATAGTGCCTGTTGTAACTGATTGACAATCTCCCTAGGTGATTGTAGAAGAAGCCACTTACCATGACAGACACATGTAGAATGTGCATCTGTTCGTCCACAATCTCCGAAGGTTCTTGGAGGCTCGGTGGTGTGGCCCGGGAAAGTTGTTCAGTGCTGCTCATGGACACATGGAAGTAGAGAGTGCCATTCTCCAACCACTGCTGTTTCCAGTGTACCAAAGAAAGATCTGACACCGTCCCCGACATCTCTGCAAGAATTAAAATAGAACTTAGTATTTATATGTATTGCTAAAAGTGCTCATCTCGCAGCCATTTGTCATTCATTCTGGTCTGCAATTGTATTTTTAAAATTACATGGTTGTGTTTGTCATTTCCTTTCTTAACTCATCCACATGTCTCCCACCTTCAAGTTCTCTTACATTTGAAGAAGAAAGAACCTGGTCTATTTTGACCAGGTCATGGTTAACCCAAAGGTATTTTTTTTCCCGAAAAAATAATTGGTTAGCATTTTTCTAGCACATCAGCGCAGAAGTCCCCAAAGTGCTTTTTTTTTTTAAAAAAAAGCTGGACTTTCTTTGTTTTTCCTTGAAGACATTTCACTTCTCATCCAAGAAGCTTCTTCAAGTTCTGAAGAACAGTTCTGAGGCTTCTTTGGATGAGAAGCGAAACGTCTTCAAGGAAAATCAAAGAAAATGCGGTTGTCTTTTGAAAAAAAAAAAGCCCTTTGGGGTTTATCTGCTAGAAAAATACTAACCCATTATAATCAATTCAATAATTGGCCTTATTAACGTCGCCACATCTCCAAGAGAGCAGCGAAGACTCAGAAAGACAAAAAAACGCTTAAAGTGAAATGGGAAATTATTTTCTTTGCTAGTTGTGAATCTCATCAGCCACCTACTGGGATCAACTGCATTGGCCAGTTTGGGGAGTAGTGAAAAACCATTCCCAATTAAATGGCCTAACCGTGGGGAACTTTAGCACATACACCCTTTGCTTCCTACAAGAACAGAAGCTTTGCTTCTCATTAACTAGAGGACCCTTTGAAAACGAAACAAAAGGGACAATTGCTTCTTTAAACGCCACCGAATGAAAAATCCATCAGAGGTCCATGTATTCCTTTTATGGCTCGATTGAGCAAATGGGAGAAACGCAAGTTTGAAACAAAGCAAAGCCATCTTCCTCGTGTGCTTCCCTGTCAGCATTGATTTCTAATAAGTTGGTGAATCTTAATGAATTGTTCCAATATTACATTAATTATATGAACAATATCATCCTGTGTGACTTATAGACAACTGGAAATTAACCAGACCGAAAGAGGAATATCTAGGTGATATGGGCAAAGCAGTTTTTTTTCTTTCCAGAGGGAATATTAATTTTTTTTTAAAAAAAAAAAAACATGACTCAGATTATCTTAAAGGGCCCTTTTGCAAAAGGCAACTGGCCTTTCTTGGGTTTTTTCCCCTCCTTGAAAAGGTTTCACTTCTCATCCAAGAAGCTTCTTCAGTTCTAACTGAATATAAATCCTTATATTTCCCCGCTGTTCAGATAGAACTGAAGAAGCCTCTTGGGTGAGAAGTGAAACGTTTTTCAAGGAAAAAAACAACAAGAAGAAAATCAAACAACAAGAACTGTGGTTGATAGCAAAGGTCTTTGGGAAAAACCATACAAAGAAGAAGGCAACTTTAAGGGATTCAACTAAAAGCATTCTGCTGCATGCGTGCTTCTAGACGCCACAAGTCCCTTTGCCCCCAAAGCAGTTTTCCAACCCCTTTTCATGTACAGAAATATTCTTACCCTACTCTGATCCCCTCTTTTGCACATTTTCTAAAATGACTTTTCTTAAGCCATCCTAGCCAAGATTTTAGCTCCTTTCTCCCCTCCTCCTTCAAGACTCATCTGTGGTGGGACTTATCTCGGGGTGTGTGTGTGTGTGTGTGTGTGTGTGTGTGTGTGTGAGTTGGCCTACCGAGATGAGGTGGACCGGTTGCTTTCGTGGTGTGGAGACAATAATTTGGTCCTCAACACCAAAAAGACCAAGGAGCTTATAGCGGACTATAGAAGGAACAGATCAGACATCCAACCCTTGCTTATCAATGGGGACCGAGTGGAGCAAGTGGCCAGTTTTAAGTTTCTGGGTGTTATCCTAAAAGAGGACCTGACCTGGGGTGCCCACATTGCACCCCTGGTCAAAAGGGCCCAGCAGAGGTTATACTACCTGAAGCTTCTCAGGAAACAACAACTGAGTGAAAAACTGCTGGTGACCTTCCACCGCTGCACCAGAAAAAGTATCTTAACTTACAGCCTCTGTGTGTGGTTTGCCAATTGCACAGGGGCAGATAGGAGGGGTTAACGTCATTACCCAGAGGATCACTGGTTGCCCTCTCCCCTCTTTGGAAGAACTCCAGCTTCCTTGAGAAAGTTTAAAACATTCTCAAAGATCCATCTCATCCTGGGCACCCTTTTTTTTTTTTTTTTGAACTACTACCATATGGCAGATGGTACAGGACAATAATAAAAACAAGGACAAATAGGCTGAAAAACAGCTTCTATCCCAGGGCAGTAGCTCTTTTGAATTCTGCTGTGTTGCTGCGGTGTCGGGGGTTTCCGGTTCAATGTGTGGAGGGTGAAGGATGTGTGTTTGTGTTCATTTTCACGGTCATGATGTGCACTGAAGATGGTGTTTGATTTCGTTGTACACAATGACAACAGTGTAAACTAAACTCAGAACTAAAGACTAAACTAAAGACTAGAACTGTCTCCCTCACACTCCGCATTGGATTGAAAACCAAGATGTTGTTTTCACTCGAGGGAAAAAAAAACAAACCAAGGTTAAAATAGCCCAGCGTACTGCCTTCCTTGGCACAATGTCTAATTATTTTATCGACATCTCCAAGAGAGAAGCGTTATAATTAGAAACCTCAAGGTGGTTACTTGGTGGCTCTGGTTATTGTTTATATCCCTAGAAGCAAAAGAAGGCATGTGGGACCAGTCTCTAGTGGCCATCTATGAATCTTCTAGGAGAATGGAGAAAACAGATCCTTATTAACAAGACTTCTTGTCTTCAGGATCCAATCCGAGTTGGTTGCTGGGACCAGACGTTTGTTCTTCCAAGGTTTTCATGCTGTTGAGGCCCTAGGGAAGCTTCACAGAGCTGGCAGCAGAATTGGACAGTAGTGAGGAGGTTTGGGGAGGAAACTGGGCTGGGTCTGGAGGCTGAGGAAGGCTCGGACGAGGGCTCTGCATCAGAGGCAGAGATGGGGCCAGGGCAGGCTGGCAGTCAACAGCTGCCTTCGGATTTGGACAGCAGTGAAGTGGGGGAGCTTCTGGAAACAGTTCCCAGCAGTTCCCAGCACACACAGAGCTAGCAGACGACAAGGACTATTGAGAAAGCAGGGTTGACTCAGGAGTAAAGCCACACCTGATTCCATCTCTCTATTTATGCAACCTAGGATTGTTTTGGCAATCAGAAAAGAGTCAAAGTTTACTTTTTCTTTCACCTTCCCTTCGTGTCTGAAATCTCACAGATCTTCTAATATTTTAAACCACTTTATAAGGTACTCTTTGAAACACACATACACACACACACCTCTATTTAATGCAAGTAGGAGGTGTGTGTGTGTGTGAGAGAGAGAGAGAGAGAGAGAGACAGAGACAGAGAGACAGAGAGAAAATTCAAATTAGATGTCTTACGGGGGCGTGCAGCATTATTCCTCTTTTCAATGCAGCATCTGTGATGGTCATAAACAAACATTAAATATTAACAACGATGGCAAATTGTAAATTCTAAATTGGATAAGACCTGTCAAGAGATAACGGAGAATGGCAAATTTTCTAGGAGGATCAGGAATTCGTTTAAGGAATGATTTAAAAATTTGAGCAGAGCTCAATTCTTGGTGGCATCACAAACATATTTGAGCGGGTTTGGATTTTTTGGGGAAGGACGCGGAGGTGACTTGTCCTCTGCTTCCTTCTCTTTTTTGCTTCTTGGGTTAGCTTGCAGCTCTGGCCTTCATTGTGGGCTCTCATCCAAAGTAGAGATCAAGTCTGTCCCTGCTTAGCTGTTTCAAGACTAGCCAAAGTCAGGTTATATGTTATCATTTCCTGGGACAGCATCTTAGAAGCATACACCAAACAACAGAGAAGGAAGAATAGGGGTTTGAAAATGCTAAAATGGATTCCAAACCTGAGAGAGAGAGAGAGAGAGAGAGAGAGAGAACGTACGTATGTGCAGTGACGGTGGGAGGGAGAGGTGGGGAAAGAAAGAGAAAGAGAGAGAGGAAGAGAAGATGAAAGAGAAAGAGAGAGTGAGAGAGAAAGAAAGAGAGGAAGAAAGAGAAAGCTGCAGGGAGGAAGACGGGGGGAGGAGGGAAAGGGAGGGAGGGAGAGAGTATATGCCTGTGATGAAACCAGTGAAGAAAAAAACAGTAGGTGCCCATAATAGTTAGTTAGTTAATTCTGATAAAGAAATAGCTTGTCTCCCAGAGTTGTGGGTGCTGGAGGTTTCCAAAAATAGATTGGACAATCATTTGACTGGGATGGTATAAGGCTCTTATCTTGAGCAGGGGTTGGACTAGAAGACCTCTGTAGTCCCTTCCAGCCCTAAGGTTCTAGGGTCCTAATATTGTTATGAGTGTAAATCAGCGTCTTCCCATGTCATTAAGACAACAGCCAAGTTTCCTGAGTCAGAAGGAAATCAGAACCCTCTTGATACTACCTCGATAAAGACTATTTTCTGTACTGCAACATGGGAAACCTTCGTGTACACGTTGCTTCGTTCTCATCTGCGATAAAAAAAAATAAAAAGTTCTAATCTTCCAAGTGAGATCGACAAACCTTCGACTGACTCAGCCGGAATATAGAATTTAAGTGTCTGAACCATCAAGATTTACCGTTTTGCCTGCGTGGAGCCTGACAGCACGAATGAAACTCCTGCTGCAAGGAAAAACCTACTCGTGTTTATCCATAATGGTAGACCATTTTTTTACTAAACTAGCATGCTGCAATCCCTAGCCATCCTCCTACTGGCTCAGCAACAAGCACAGCTTTGATGACCATCATCTTCTTTGAACGACCCCATAATCCCTTGCCGGGTGGAGTCTGGGTAATTGAATGGAGTCAGCAGAGTGTTTTTTTTTAAATGGCCAGATGCCTTTCCTGTCACCAATGCAGAGTTTTGTTCAGCCGCTATATTCTCGCTGTGCCCAAAGAGAGAAAATATCTGCCTCTACCTAGGATCGAACTCACAGCT